TTTTTTTTTTTTTTTTTTTTTTTTTTTCTTATTCCTTACGTTATGTGATCTTCAATCGAGAAAAAAATGATCTTTCGAAAAGTGAAATATTTTTGAAATAGATAAAATATTTTTCGAGAATAATATGCGGAAACAAGAGTTAATTTCTTGAAGGATGATTTTATTGAGATTATTATTATTATTATTTTTTTATATATATATATATATATCTTTTAATAAATTTAATTTCTTTATTAAAGAATTAAAGAAATTAAAGAATCGTTACTTGTCTTATATATCGATATTTAATAATAGAGACAACGTTGTATTTGTATCTTTATTTAAATTATGAAAAGTTTACGTATATCCTTCAAGGATAGATAAAACTATTGGTCACAATTGTTTGAAAAAAAGAAAGGAAATACTGTAATTTTGAATTTCGGAATTCGATCGATTCGATAATAATCGATCAAAGGATGCCCAATGGAAACGCGTCATTAACTGAGCAAAACGAGTGGAAACAAAGAGCGAAAGAGAGTGTATGCGTCTGCGTGAAAGGGTAATTTCGAGTGGAAACGAGTTCGAAAGAGTTAGGTAGTCGTGATAAGGGGGAGAAAAAAAGAAAAAGAAAAAAAAAAAGAGAAAAAAAGAAGAAACGTTTGGCGCGAAAGGAAAAGGCGATAAACGAAAATCGTTGAGCGGATTACACACGATCCATTCGTCGAGATCCATTCGCAAGGATATGTATCAAGCTTTCGTGCTTTCTTTCTTTAATTTATCCAATCTTTTTTGACAGTAGTCGATCATTCAATAACCTATCGAAGGTTTTTCTTCTTCCCTCGTCAATCGAGAAGTCAGTTCAGTCTGTTCATCGATTTGTTTCTTCAATTGCGATTGGCTATTCGTTCCCAATCTGTACTCTCCTTGGTTAAACTGTCTCATCTCGCGTGTTTTTAATTTTAAACACGTATGCGAAGCTAGTTGAAAAAAGTAAAATTCACAAAAAGATAATTTCTTTTAAAGAAATAAATTAGATCTGATTTTATTTCTTAAAGCAGGGCGCTTTTTAATCTTAATTTAAAAGAATATACATGGAACTGAAGATATTTTAATGTATCTTTTAAAAATGAAAGTAACAAATTCAGGACATTTTAATCAAAGAGGTCTGAGGATTGAACGCAAACTTGAGGATACTTTACGGATTAAAATTCGTCTTCGTGAGTTAGGGAATAATTTCTTCAGATATTAAAATTTCGATTACCTCTATCTTACATTTTCTTATCGATTTTTCCTTTATGTATCACTCGCTTATCATTTCCAATAGTGATTTCTAGATCTTCGATTGCATAACGTAAATCCGAAAGCTCTCGCTTAGCTTTTTCTCAGAAAGTTAATCGATCGATCAAGCTCAACGACGATGGCGAGATAATCTGATGGGACGTGTGAGAAAAGAAGAAATGAATACGGCATACATAAAATTTTGTACAATTGTGAAATTGTAGGTGAAACAACATGTGCCTTTGTAGCGTTCGACGAGAGAAAGAAACGCGAATATAAA